AAAGAACACCTCATACCTGGTCACAGGATATAAGACACAACATGATATTGCATCACAGCAGGGAGAAGAAACTGGTCGAACGGCATCACCCACGCCTTTCCACGAGGTACAGGCAACTTCCCCAACATCATCACCCATTCTTCGGCCGCAACACCCCCAGTCGCCGCTGGTGCCCGGGAGGACCAGCGGACCAGCGGCGGACCAGCCACTGACCGTGCACGCCGTACTGTAGGAGTGGGACGATGTCGAACAGCTGAACCAGCGCACGGTGCAGTCCAGTGTAGTCAAGGCTGGGGTAGAGCGCCAGCCGTGTGGCGTCCTGGTCAGGCCGGCGCAGCATCACCAACGGTGCCTCAGGCACGTCCTTTAGCACGCCTGCTCAGAGGGACAGGTCAGTGATGGGGCTGTCCCTCACTGGGCCGCTCACCCACAGAATGACCCACAACTCTAATGTGCAGGATAATCATGGTCCTCTTTTAGATTAATACAGCACTACTATTGTGGTGTTTTTCTGGGCTGTCATTTCTCACCTTGGCACAACAGAGCTAAGGCATAGAATCAGAATCCTTCCACCTCAAATCTGCTTTACTCACCCATAAGTGTCAAAGAGAAGTATTTCAGTGTGCAGGCAATATCCAGCTCTGATGGTAATGGTATTCCATGCAGAAGACGCAGATAATAGTCCTGCAGATTCTTGATCTTCGCAGTGACTGAAATTATGTACTGGTCATTATTGCATGTTTTCAAACAGGGAGCAAGCTGCCCAAGCAAAAAAACTCCTGCTGGCCTGTGATGGAGCTAGGTCAACCGTGATACACATGTTTCTGGCAATGTGATATAAAACAAATTCTAGCAATTATCTTGGAATGTCAAAGGCTCCTAAGCAAGCCCCTATCAAGTCTACATCTGGCACACTGCAGCCAAAGTTTAATCATTTGAAAACCTTATAAATTTTGTAGGCACTACATAAGCAGATAATATCAGCATTTAAGTCCTGTTTTTAAAAGTGCAGCTCACAATATTATTGTAAAATCAAGTAAGAAGTGTCAAATCATGTCTTGCCATTCTGCAGATAGTGTTTGGTGGGCCAGTAGCATAACAGGCTGAAAGGACCCAGGGTTCATGGTACTGCAGACAAAAATCCCAAAAACTCAATGATGGGAGAAAAGGCAGAAAATATTTCGCCCCATGCATGCATGAACTTTTACGATCCCGTCAAATAAAGATTATTCAATGTTCCCATGCATTATTTGCTTGCGACAGTGTGGAGACAAAAGCGCACTTACATGCAGCCGCTCGAGTGCCCATCTTGCTCTGTGGTTGAAGGGTTGTGGCTTATGTCTGCTGGTTAAAGACACCACAAATGAGATCTGTGCAAAGAAATCATTTTAACTTGCGCACCCCGCCCCCTCACATTGTTTACAAACTAAGGCCTTGGGGTATCGTCGCAGAAGCGCTATAAATACTCCTTTGGATCGATTGAAATAGAGCTGGGCGACATATCTTTAATTTTTTGGAACGAAATTTGGCTACAGCAAATAACAAAACTTTAACTCATTCCCGGGTCTTTGGGAGCAGTAAAATATTGTGACGTTGTAAATAAACTATTTTGTAAGGCTTGATGAAACCATATCGTTATTTTGTGACGAACAGAACACGTATCACCCTTATGAAGTCCAGCGTTCATGCGACGGTAAGCTCAATTGAACATATAGAAAGGCATTGTGTGTGTGTGCTTGAGTATAGTCTACTGCATTATTTAAGTGTATTACAAGGTTTCTTACCAGCTTCGGCGCCTTTTGCTAGATAATAGTTTCTAATATTCTCGTGGAACAGCCCGTAGCACGGTACAGCCATGCACGGTGCACCGTCTGAATTTGAGACCAAACAGACCCACAAATGTGAATATGATGAAATATAGCATCGAGAGTTTTTATAGGACGACAAAATAACCCATCGAAATAAGACTTGAAAAATTGCAAATATCTATTGCTGACTAATCCCGGCTGTACTTTAATGCTCAATTGACGTCAAAACCTGTTAACATGGCGCTACGGCGACGAAAGGGAGTAAACAAACCACGGGGATATACCTAGAGCATCCCTCAGTGTGTTCTTGGGTGATTTGGTGGAGGCGCAAGGCATAAGTCGTAGGTGTTTGGGATCAGAGGGTACGTTGGAGGGGGGAGGGGAGAGCAAGGAGTAGCAACTAAACGCCCTGGTCTCTACTGTCATGTCCACACGGGTGCAACAATGCATGTTCTGACTTTGTAACCCACTTTTCAAGATGGCCCTGCATCCCAGCCAATAGTGACGCTCATTTTCATGAGATGATGCGAGGAGGCTCATTCCATTTGCGTGAGCATGTTCTGAACCTGCACGTACCAAGCAAGAGCTTTATTTGTTCTCCACATCGTATGTGACATCAACTGCAGTTTCAAATGTTAGTTGGAGACTAAAGAATAATAATCACCTAACACCTTTGCATTCGGGATAGGAAAAATGGTTCAGGGCGCAGCAGCATTTAAAGCTAGTGTAAAAATACCTGACCATTGGTATTTGAATGCTAGGTTTGTTAAAACTGATGTAACTTTTGTTCTGGCATATGCCCCTCTAAGTAGAGTTGAACCATTGTAGAATATTTTGTTTATTTTGACTTTGTTTTTGTGATGTATTAAGTGGCTCTAAAGCAGATTGAGCTCCACTGGTGCTCATTACTCCAAAATTCATTATCTAGGGTTTCTAGGATATAAAAAGAAATTCATGCTTCCAGAAGCCTGCTTGTCTTATGGGCACCATATGGTGATTTAAATTAGTGTACCCCAAAGCTCACATCATCATCATCAGCTCTGGTTTCTGAGCCATTGCCACAGATTGTACACAATTCATTGAAGCTGATTCATTACCCTTTGACCCTGAATCCAGACATCTAACCTGCCTGGCCCATGAACACATGCTAGAGTAGCTGGCTAGATACCCTTTACTCATGTGGGAAGGGTCAATTTGACCCCTCCTCCTGAGTTCTCAGGAACTAAAAATGCTAGGGATGCCTAACTTTCAGGGTGTGTTGACCTGTATGTGAACTCACTCAGGTCAAAGTTTGATGTTCCTCGGCCATGATCTTTGGGTGACATAAGGGGGGAAGCAAGGTTAAATTCCAGGCTGGTCTCCAAAGTGCCCTCAGAACCTAGATATCTGTTTTTAACCAAAAGCTCACATGCTCAGTTAAGGTCACTGACCTTTTTTGACCTTTTGAAGGCCATGGTGACAAAACCATGCAAGACTGCTCAGAGTTTTGCATTTGAATAAACAACAAAAATTATGCTAGGCAGTATGCTTCTACAAGCAAAATGTTCACCTTGGTCATTTTAGGTCAATGACCTATTCTGACCTCTAAGAAGTCTATAAAAGGTGTATAATGCAGTTCCTGCTATCAGTAGAGTTGAAACAAGCACCAGCAACTCCCATACAGCAAGCACAAGAGTAATAAAAGAAGTTGGTTTTGACCTTTGTCTGGCCTTTATACCTGACTTTAGGTCAATGTGGTTTGGTCATTCAATATTTTCATTGCCTAAGAAAGCATCTCAGAGATTATGCCTTTGTATAACACTCTGTTGTTGCTCACTCAGATTGAACAATTCCATAGGAATTGACTGTGCTGAAAGTGTGGCTTGACCTTGATTTGCCATAAGTCGGCAACCTTACAAGGTGTATCTTATTTTTTGTGCCAAATGGTTGACCACTTAATTGTCTACAGCTCTGCAAAATTTGGCACAGATGAGCCACACAGTTCGGAAGCCACTCCGGAATACCTTTGGGAGGGGTCAATTTGACCCAACCCCACCAGAGCGTGTGTTAATCAAGCCTGAGATGGTTGGATGCTGGGGCAGCTACCAATCTGTCTGATGCTGATTGACTGAATTTGGGCAGGGGCAGGGGCAACAGACAGTGAGACCTAACCTGGAGTTGTAATAGTATGACAAATATTGATATACCTGTGACCCATGTGACTGAACATTGCAATATGGCTGGTGTAAAGTAACCAATGTTTGTAGTTACACTGCAAGGCTCTGGAGATGTAACCCAGACATGATAAGTGTTTGGTTATGTGCTGCTGGTGTTATATGGCATGCACATTAACTTATGACCTCTGGGTTCAGGCATTTTCTGTGATTATTTTCTGACAAAAATAAAGGTGCCCAGCTTGCATTTATTAGTTGCAATTTTGTGTGCCTTTCTACTATTAATCATACTACAAATTATACCAAGCATTGCAGAACACTAAAATTCCACCACAAAATAATGTTATCAACTCAGAATATTATAATTGGGTTGTGGGAATCAGTGCTTGTGCATCCAAGGGGTTGAGCATATACCAATGTCATTTGACTGTAGCCACCCAGCAATCCATCATATCAAAATGTTTGGATAAAATCTACATGAAAGTGATTTTTAATGATTAATTTACCTGCTCAACCTGAAACAGGCATTGCTTTTGGAAAGTTTTCACTATTTTTTCAAACATTTCTAGTCATTATCTCAAAAAGCTGGAATTTGTGTGTAGTTATGCCCATTTAAGGCTTCTGATGTCACCTTTTCAACAGCAAATGCTTAGAGATTGTTTTTTGCTGCTGTATGGAACCACACTGGTTTGTTTTGGGCTCTATGTCAGCTGATCTTTCAAGCAGATGCTGTGATCTCAGGTCCGTGGGGGGGGGGGGGGCTCCAAGAACATTAACAGGTCCAGGTCCATGGGGGCAACACAGGAGCAAGGTTAAGAGGCTTGGGATGTAATTCAGGAGTGTATGATCTAAGATGCAGACACTGTACTGATCATTGTCATCAGTACACTGCCAGTACACAGCCATTTCCCACTGCCATGACAAAGCCCCAAGCAACCGCCCACTTCTCCGTGACTCCAAACATTCACGATGTCGTGCATAACGTTATGCAAGTGGCGCTGAGTTTCCTCATGGGGCCGTCTCTCGCCGACAGCAGGCGAGCGGGCTGCTCGCTCCCCAGACAGGCCAATGGCGCTGGCTCGCCTGCTGGGAGTGGCTGCGGTGCGGCTGTCGCCGCTAACGGCTCGCGTGGCGCCCGGCACCGGTCCGCTTCGGCGCTGGCTCTTCACGGCGCCGCCGCGCCTGCGCAGTGGCAAGCTCGGCGCGTCGCGGTTCGCGCCGCAAGAGATGCGGCGGCTCATGGCGCTGGCTCGGCCGGAACGCTGGAGGATCGGAGGTAGGCGTAGGCCGCGGTGGCGGGTACCCGCGGTTGGATGGCTGACGAGTCTGAGGGGTAGGACGGTGTGCTCCTCTCTGGCGGGTGACTGACGGGACTGAGGGACGGGACGGCGTGCTCGGGTCTTGGGGACGGGTCTGAGGGACGGGACAATGTGCTCCTCTCTGGCGGGGGACTGACGAGTGTGAGGGACGAGTCGGAGGGATGGGACAGTGTGCTCCTCTCTGGCGAGTGACTGACTGGACTGAAGGACGGCTGTGATGGACGAGACGGTGTGCCCCCTCCTTCTGGCGGGTGATTGACGGGTCTGAAGGGCGGCTTTGAGGGACGGGACACTGTGCTCCTCTCTGGCGGGTGGCTGACGGGCTTGGAGGACGGGTCTGAGGAGCGGTTCTTTCTGGCGGGCGGCTGACGAATCTGAGGAACGGGACGGTGCGCTCCTTTTTGATACAGTGTGCTCTTTTTTGGGATGGTATGCTCCTCTCTGATGGTGTGCCCCTCTCGGATGACATGCTCCCCTCTGGGACGGCGTATTCCTCTTTGAGACGGTGCTCTGAGAAGGCAGACATTGTCTGCCTTTTGTACTGTGCTCTGGTACGAAATGGCCGAGCGGTTGTTCGTAGAAATACTATTTGGGTCGTAATGGAATTGCTTAACGGTAATACGTTTCGCGCATTTGATCGCGGCCGACGTGCTGCGCTCCAACGCTAGCTGTCGTTCGTCATTCGCACCGACAGAAGGCGTCCACCGTGACCGTCTGTCCGCGACAGGTGCCGTGGGCCTGCTGCTGGTCTCCAGCGCCGTGACCATGACGGTGCCGTTTGCCATCGGCCGCGTGGTGGACATCATCTACCAGGAGGAGGCAGACACTGCCCGGCAGCGGCTCATCACCATCTGCCTGGCGCTGGGTGGCGTCTTCATCGTCGGCGCCGCCGCCAACTGCGGCCGAGTCTACCTCATGGGCATCTCAGGTGGGCGGCGGCGGCAGCAGCGAACGCGCGGCCCCCGCCAGAGTAACCCGATAGCCGGGTGTGACGGGAGGATTAGTGGCTCGTTTTATCTTCTTCTTTTTTTTGCTGAAGGAATGTAGTTTGTTTAGCCATGATTTTGTGTCTGACTTAGGGAGACTTGGTGTTTTCAGGGCAGGATGCTTGGGCTTTCCCCGGTATTGATATTGAAAGCCATTTCGTTGTTTTGATCAACTGCGAGGTAAGTCCGACATTGGCCCGCGGTATTTTTAGATAAGATCTAATGGTCGTCATTCAAAGTTCATCCCTCCCTGCACGAACACGATGTTCATGAAGTATTGCGCGCACTGCGTGAACTTCCATCAGCGTCCAAAAGACAACAACACGGGAGTTTAAGCTGTGACTCATAACCAGTTCCTCGGGACCACTCTGCAGAAGTCCGACTCACGTTCGCCTAGGGACCACTTTGCAGAAGTCCGACTCACGTTCGCCTGGGAACCACTCTGCAGAAGTCCGACTCACGTTCGCCCTGCGGCGGCCAGGCCCGGGTTGCGCTGCAGGCACCCGTGCCTTATTGTTTTCGGTCCCGCCGTTTAGACAGCGGCGATCGGCCCCGTGGCTGCACGGAGCTGATCGGGCCGGTCACGGCTCCGCGCCGACCCTGGCCTGCTCAGCGGCGCGGCCCGTCGTCGCCCGGCCGCGGCCCGGCTCTGCGGCGCCCCGCTGACGCGGCGTGGCGTCGACAGGCGCCCGGATCGCGCAGCAGCTGCGCGTCTCCGTGTTCGGCGCCCTGCTGCGCCAGGAGGTGGCCTTCTTCGACCGCAGCCGGACGGGCGAGCTGGTGAACCGGCTGTCGGCCGACACGGCGCTCGTCAGTCAGTCGGTCACCATGAACATCTCGGACGGCCTGCGCGCCACCGCCATGGCCTCCGCCAGCGTCTCCATGATGGTGAGGCGCTCGCCGCGGATGTCTGGACGGCGTTCAGGAGGAGCAGTCGACTGGCGGAGGTCATCTTTGCTTCGTAGTCGCTCTGTCTGGTGACTTAATTTTCCGTTTGAGTTTAGGCGAAGGAGAGGGGATATTCTTGGTCTACCAGATGCCGAGGTTGTCAAGTTTTCACGCTTGAAAGTTGATTCTGAGCATACTTGTAATAGTAGCACGCGATCGCCCCGCTTATGATGTAGGCACAGAAAAGTTTTGAATACCATGCGATTCACGAAGATAACAAAGGTAACGAAGAAAATAGCACCACTAGCATTTTTACCGACCGCAATTTGCTCATTCCTTTCAGAGAGGTACGAGTCTGAAGGCTATATTGGACCATTCTGGTGTGGCCAGGTATTTGATGCTACCACTCGATAATAGGTCAACGGGCTAAAAGATGTCCGGTTTATATCCGTGTAAACCACTGAGCGCATAACAAATCGTACTTTATTTTCGGTAGCATCCGCCGCGCTCGGTTCCCATCGCGGACTTGTCCTAGCTTCATGGATGCCATGCCCTCTCTGTTGTCAGTTTTACGTGTCGACGAAGCTGGCGCTGGTGGGACTGAGTATCGTGCCGCCGGTGGCCATGGTGGCTGTCGTTTATGGCCGATACGTGCGCAGGATCACGAGAGCCGTCCAGGTGAGCTGCCCTCCTCCCCGGACACCTGCCCTTCCGGCCCGCCGGTAGCCACTGGCGCTCGCTCAATGCTGTTGGTCTCAGCGGTTTGCAAACCTTTTTAGTATTACTTCTCCATGATCTCTCGGGATAGCAGTGCTGTGTATTCAGAGAACTGTGTGATCAGCTCACTGTTGTCGTCAGGCTCGTGAAATGTTCGTCACGCGCTGTGTGTTGTCAGAACATCGCTTTTCGCCCAACCAAACCAACAGTATAAGTTGGAGAGTGTTCACAGGCACCAGTAAAATCACACACTCTTTCACTACTCTCAGCACGTCATTCAATATCGTGTTACTGCCGGTTTATTCACGTCTGGCAAACCATGACAAATATGTGACCTCTGCGCGCGCGCCGGGCGTCCCCCTCCACCGCCGCTTTGAACCGCACCACCAAGCTATGACCTCTGCGCGTGCGCCGATCGTCCCCCACTACCTCCGCTTTGATCCGCACGGCAGGACGGCCTAGCTGATGCCAACGCCGTGGCTGAAGAGAAGCTGGCCAATATTCGCACAGTGCGCGTGTTCGCGCGCGAGGACCACGAGGCCGAGGGGTACGCTCGCAGCACGCGTGACGTGCTGGCCTTGTGTCAGCGCGAGACGTTGGCACGGGCCGGCTTCTTTGGAATGGTGAGGCGACTGCTGGCTGCTGTCGATTCGGTGTGTTCATTGAGTTATCACGGCACATATCCCAGCGCTTAATACGTTTATTGTGGTTCATTGTATGCAAATATTTGTTTTCTGTATTTACGTTTCAATGAGTTTTGATTGAGAGGTGTAGGCGTGTCGGCGCGGTATTACCATTGTCTAATCGGGCTCATTCTGCGTATTGATTATTCCATGTTGCGTCACGAGCTTGCAGAGGACCCTTGATGCAATCCTGCGCATATAGATAGGATGCTCATTTACGAGGCACGTTGTGTTGAACTGGAGCTTCCTCATTGTCAGTAAAGAGTAACGTCATATAACCCAGCTTGAGCAGCGTCCTCAGCCCGCTCACACGCGTCTCGCATAAACTCGACGTTGTACCTCACGCGTCGCCGTCCCGCCGGGTAGCCGGACGACACGTGCCCCACCTTCCCGTGACGTTGCCGCCCGCGCCGGCAGACGGGGCTCAGCGGCAACAGCGTGATCCTGGCCGTGCTCTACTACGGCGGCTCGCTGGTGGGCGCCGGCCAGGTCACGGTCGGTGACCTCTCCGCCTTCCTGCTGTACGCCGCCTACGTGGGCGTGGCCGTCGGTGAGGGACTACCCCCCGCACAATGGGGGGGGGGGGGGGGGGAGCGGAACCGTGTGGACGGGTTTAACGGACGCCGCGGAGTGGAATATCGCAAAGCTGCTGCTGTCTCTATGCTCGAATATCTCGTTGGCTCGGGTCAAAAATAAAATATCTTGCGCACGTGCAGACCGAGACTAAAAGACGATGTTTGCACCATTTGTTCTGTCCAAGCTAGAGTTTTGTTTCTGTGAAAGCTACAGTTTCAGAGTTGACGCCCGGGCTATTGCCGCAGCAGCTGTATGTACGCGTGTACCATGGCACGGTTACTTGTTCGGACACCACTCTGCCAGTACCTGTGTAGCGTGTACCTGTGCGACTATGCACTGGCGTTTCTGCCTGGGTGCGTTGCCTGCCGTGTGTACCTCTGGCAGCGCCCCCTACGTCCCACCCTTCTCCAGCGCGGTGGGCTTCGGGCCGTGTGCACCTGTGCCAGTGCCCTCGCGTCCCTCCCCACTCCAGCGCCGTGCCGTTCGGCTATTGTAACCGGTGTGGTTGGTGGGGCTGCAGGCGGCCTCAGCTCGTTTTACTCGGAGCTGCAGCGCGGCCTGGGCGCCAGCACGCGGCTCTGGCAGCTGGTGGACCGGCAGCCGCAGCTACCATACTCGGGCGGCGCGCGGCCGGCCGCCCTCCGCGGCGACCTGCGGCTGCAGGACGTCACGTTCGCCTACCCCAGTCGGCCCGATGACCTGGTGTTCCGCGGCCTCAGCCTCAGCGTCACGGAAGGTCAGACCACGCGCCGTGTACCCCGGCAGGCAGGGTGTGTGTCGGCCCAGACCTGCCGGTAGCGTCATGCGAGGACCGCCTGCATGCTCACAGCAGCGGCGTTTGGCGTGCTGTGATCCGTCGAAGCGGCGAGACCATTGTGTGTGGGCGAAAGTATTCGGAGCACCACCCAGATGACGTACAGCGATGTCGGTGTCGTAGTTACTATGTCCGCGTGAGGCGCTGCACACGTCGCATACGCTGGCGTTGTGTTTTACAACGAGCTTTCCTCGTTTTCGCTGTGGTGCCGGCTGGTCCCTCCCCGTGCTGACGGCCGGTCCTCTACTCGTGCTGATGACCGGTCCCTCTCCCCGTGCTGATGGCTGGTGCTCTCCCCGTGCTGACGGCCGGTTCCTCCCCCCCCCCCCCCCCCCGGGCAACAGGCTCGGTGCTGGCAGTGGTCGGGCCGAGCGGCTCTGGCAAGTCCACGGTGGCCTGGCTGCTGCTGCGGCTGTACGACCCGCTGGAGGGCCGCGTCACACTGGACGGCAACGACGTCCGCGAGCTGGACCCCATGTGGCTGCGGGACCAGATCGGCGTCGTCAGCCAGGTCAGGCCGGGCGGTGTCACGCATCACTGGTCGGCTCAGTGGTCGGTCACGGTCGCGCTCCGTCTGTTGCCGGCGCCGGTGTGCCGCAGGACGCTGCGCCCGTGCCTGTCGCGTCTCTCCCCAGCGGCGTGGGTGCGGCCGCTCACTGACGCGGACGCGTCGTGACGCATCCCCCTCCCCCGTCGGCAGGAGCCCGTGCTGTTCTCCACCTCGATCCGCGAGAACATTCTGTACGGCGCCAGCGTGGCCAGCACGGTCACTGAGCAGCAGCTGCGCGACGCCGTCGAACAGGCCAACGCCGCAGAGTTTGTCGATAGGTGAGAGGGTGCGCGCACGTGCGGGTGGACGGGCGGGCGTGGGACGGCGGCCGGGATCCTCTGCTGGCCGGCTGTTGGTGCGCCGTGGATCTGGCCGTGCGGGACGGCCTGACCGTGCACGGCTGGACACTGGAGACTGCCTGATTGCGCACGGCTGGACACTGGAGACTGCCTGATCACGTACGGCTGGACACTGGAGACTGCTTGATTGCGCACGGCTGGACACTGGAGACTGCCTGACCGCACACGACTGGACACTGGAGACTGCCTGATCGCGCACGGCGGGGGACTGCCAGATTACGCACGGCTGGACACTGGAGACTGCCTGATCGCGCACGACTGGACACTAGAGACTGTTTGATCGTGCACGGCGGGACACTGGAGACTGCCTGATCGCGCACGACTGGACACTAGAGACTGCCTGACCTCGCACGGTTGGACACTGGAGACCGCCTGAACGCGCACGGATGGAGACTGGAGACTGCCTGACCGCGCACGGCTGGAGACTGATTGCGCACGGCTGGACACTGGAGACTGCCTGATCGCGCACGGCTGGGGACTGCCTAACCGCGCACGGCTGGGCACTGGAGACTGCCTGACCGCGCATATCTGGACATTGGAGACTGGTTGGGATTTCCCCGCCTTTGGACACAGTCAAACAGTGTGAGATTTGGTCTGCTAGTGGCTGGGGTTAGGAGTTGGTGCTTAGCTGCGCGGTTTTGCTCGTTATCTGTGTAGTCTCAGCGTTTTTTTTTTTTTTGGCTCTTGGATCCTCAACTGCATTGTGAATTTTCATTTTATTCGGCAGTTTTGGGTATATTTCATCTTAAGCATAATATTTGCCAGTTTTCGGGCATACGAAGACATCTACATGAAAACCTAAATCACTGCCATGCCATTTGAGCTTCTGTTGTAACGTACATATTTGGGGAGGGGGGGGGGGGGGATGTGGTGCGCAACTTGATTTGAAGTTTCTTTCTCGGTATGTTTTTGGGGTATTCAAAATTAACGAAAATCGCCTTGTAGCATTTACACATAGCTTCCGTCTTCAGGCTCCAGGACGGTATGGACACACTGGTCGGTGAGAGGGGCGTGATGCTGTCCGGAGGTCAGAAGCAGAGGATCGCTATAGCCCGTGCCATACTGAAGGTAAGTAGAAGTGTCTGGCCCACCGTCTTTTCTGTTAGAAAAAAACGCGTCTTATGTCATGGTTTTTGCGCCTAAATAATGTTTCTGGTACCTTCAAAGAAGTGCTGCCAGCTTCACTCAAAACAGCCAAGGGTATGAGGAGGACAAAAGGCGCTAGTCTGCCTTTGCAACATCTACGTTATGAAGAAATATGATGAAATGAAGGTAATCGACCAGCGAAATGGATAGTAATGGAATGATTTTTGTTCGAAAGAAATGGAAATAGCATGCCAGTGAAATGGGCGTGTGTTGTTATTATTAACTGTTTTCTTAACACGACATCGCTTTCTACAATGAGTAGTTGAGCAGTGATGGCGGTGACTGTGGAGCGCGTGCCGCCGGGGCGGGCCGTGCGGGAGGCGCTGACGGTTGGCCGGCGCCGCCAGAGCCCGCGACTGCTCATCCTGGACGAGGCCACCAGCGCGCTGGACTCCGAGAGCGAGAGCCTGGTGCAGGAGGCGCTGCAGCGGCTGATGCGGGGCCGCACCGTCATCACTATCGCCCACCGGCTCAGCACCGTGCGGCGCGCTGGTACGTGTAGCGCCTGCCGGCAGCGGCGGCCCGCTCGTGCATGACCTAAACGCATATCACCTCTGTATTTGCTGATCAGTGCGAGGGCGTTACTAATATGCGTGTGTTTTGGGTCGTCGCTCCAACGCCTCAGTTATTTATGACACCGGATGTGCGCTCCACACCAGGACGACCTTATAGACGTCCGTGAATTTTATCCCGACGAAAACACCGTTTCCAACACGCAACGTGCCCGCCCCCCCCCCCCCCCCTGCCGCTCAGGCGAGCGCTGGCGCAGGCATCCGCCTTAGGCTTTTTAAGCTCAGTCACTTGTGTTACCTCTTTCCAAGGAAATGACTCGGCTCAGTGTGGAAGGAGGTTTTTCCGCGGAACGTCAGCGTTGTATCTGCTAGTTCCGGGACGCGTTGTTGGCTGTGAAATGAGACTGGTGATATGGTGAGGAGAGCAGGCTGATCCCCTTACTCAGAGTTTTCCCTAGACCTCTGTTCAATCTCGAAATCGAAGGCACCTGATTGTACAAGGCCAATGAGAAGAAGCAGTCCATGGCGGCGCACGGTGTGTTTCGCCGACGATTGTTCATTCCACAAACGTGATGGGGCCGCCTGCGCCGGCGGTCACACGTACGCCGGCTGCCGTGCCCTGACCGTAGCCGCATGCTCGCCTCGGCAGACGCGATCGCCGTGCTGAGCGGCGGCGCCGTGGTGGAGCAGGGCTCCTACGACGAGCTCATGGCCAGGAGTGACGGCGTCTTCCGGCGGCTGGTGGAGCGGCAGACCATCCAGAGCTGAGAGCTCTCCAGAGCTGCTGGTCAGGAGTGACGGCGTGTTCCGGCGGCTGGTGGAGCGGCAGACCATCCAGAGCTGAGAGTGACGGCGCCTTCCGGCGGCTGGTGGAGCGGCAGACCATCCAGAGCTGAGAGCTCTCCAGAGCTGCTGGTCAGGAGTGACGGCGGCTTCCGGCGGCTGGTGGAGCGGCAGACCATCCAGAGCTGAGAGTGACGGCGTCTTCCGGCGGCTGGTGGAGCGGCAGACCATCCAGAGCTGAGAGCTCTCCAGAGCTGCCGGGCAGGCGCGCGCACAGAGACGGCAGGCCTCGTAGGGCTGCCGGCTCGGGGCACGGAGCGCTTCGGTTGCCCAAAGCCCGTTGTTTATGAAGTGGAAAATCGCCTGGACTCGAGGACTGGGATTCTGTGGGCGGAATGATAGACTCCAAAGCATGTGACGCGAGGCACATGGTACCGGGGCTTTATGCCCCAACACTACACGAGCCCTGGACGTTCCTCCGGGCTGGTCCCACTGCGTCACGGCCGGTCAGCTACGGGATAGGGCGAGCAGTTTTGGTCCTGGTCGCCATCCCCATAGCCAAAATAATTGTTATTTAACGGCTCTGGTAGGACAATTCGGGTCTTTTCTTGTTCTGACTCGACACGAAATTCAATGGCCCGGGTATGATCGTCGACCTGACTCCTTTGGGCTCAAACACCAAGCAAAGCAGTCATAATACAAGCATCATATTGTAGTGTTTATTTTTGACAAGCTTCGCAAAGACGAGGCGCTAGTTGTCACACGGTAAGCTTACGTAGGTGTGGGTGTACATGCAATGGCTTTTGTAGGGAATGCACCGGGTATACGTCCTCCCCCCCCCCCCCGCCACCCCCTGCCCCAGCTCGGGACAATACTGTTCACTTCTTCTTTTTTGGAGGGAGCTAAGATGGAAAAAATGTTGTTCAATACGTTACTTTTTGGTTAGTCCGCGCCATGATGGGTTTTTCGACTCTCATTTACTAAAAAATGTATTAATTGGCTCATTCATTCATCCATTTGCACTGATGAGTTATGCGCCATGTAATGGTTCTGTAGCCGGGTATTAGAAGGATTGTGAGTCCTCTCCATATAGTGATATGGACGCCTTCAGAGCGTTGCCCTAGAACATGTTTTAGGCTGTGAAGTCCTCCGCCTAGTTATTAGTGTCCATCCGTCCTACAGCCAGAGGCTTTCTGCCACAGTCGCGTCGCACACAATCTTCTCAAGCCGTTCTTTACTGTTGTGTTGGCCCCCGTAAGCGCTGATGCAGATCCCTGGTGTGAAGGGGACCACTGGTAGCTGCGCGGGAGACGCGCTTTCCGTTGGCCCCCGTAAGCGCTGATGCAGATCCCTGGTGTGAAGGTGACCACTGGTAGCTGCGCGGGAGACGCGCTTCCCTTGGGGACGTACAGACACTACGTCACACCGCACCCCGTTTGTGGGGCGTTCGGAACAGGTGTGCGCAGTGTGCTCACATAGCTATCATGTCAGGGTATGTACAGCACATCCGTAAGTAGTGGTTGCGTGTCTTAGCTGGCGCATGCTCCGTTCTGTTCTTCTGCCCGCTGCTAAGGTTTGCCTCCGGAAATGTCCTAATTGAAAAATGTCTACGGGAAAAGAAAGAAAGATCAGTTATTTGTTGTCCGAATGAATACTATATTTATTGAACAAATGCGAGGATGTTCGGTGTGATATGGCAGACCACATCCATTTCACAGTGGTGCAGTCATTGGCCGCCTTGAGCCGTGCTCTGAAAGTGATAGCCGGTTTGGTGCGTACATCGACGCCACACGCGGTAAGTGGCGCTCAATTGTTACACCGGAGGAGCCCTGCCATAGCACGGACCTCTTGCGTATGGTGGCGGCATTGTGATCGCCAAGACCGGTGAGTGTCATGACGTTTCCGGACATGGTGTCGTGCGATTCGTGATGTGTTCGGCGATGAGTGCCATGACATTTCCGGACCTGGTGTCGTGCGACTCGTGATGTGTTCGGTGGCCGGCCTTCTTGTGCTCTGGAAGCTATTGTGACTTTCGAATATAGAATAAAGGGACGCTGATATCTTTGGCTTGTTTGTCTTCATTTGGTCCACGAAGCACACGGCTTGATCCTGACTGTTGTTCACACGGCCGCTGAGTTTTCAGCGCCAGCAGAGACTACACCACCGGAGCAGACATGCGTCGGTTAACTGGCCAGAGGGCCAACGTGACCTCGGATGTCCGTAGTGCGGTGCTGAACGGTACGTGGGACCCTCCGCAGCCGGGTCTGGAGAGGAAGTCGGAAGTCTGGCGGCTCCGGAATAAAGACAAGCTCCCTGCTCATTGCGTGGTTGATCCAAAGTCGTACGTTCCATCCATTCCAAAGCATTTAAGACAAGAGCCATTTCACGGAACGCTTACGTTCAACAGTTTACTCACATCGCTGCGTGCATTAAATTGCCTTAACACCTTTCTCCTCCTTCACCGCCTATCATTAACTGACGGCACCGCCCTCTGGCCACCCTTAGATTGCTCACGTGGTCATGGCCTCCATGACGGCACAGTTTTCACATGAAAACGGAGAGAGGACGGACTGGGCCTGTCCCGATCAGCTCCGTTCCTCTCAATTCAGTCAGGCGACCCACGGGAGTACTGCAGGAGGGCAGCGATAAAGCCGAAGACGGGTTGCGGCCAGGTCGGCTGCTTGCCTGCCGGGTCAAATGATGCATACTGACGTGATCACCACAGAGCATAAGGGGCTCGTTCCCGTCCGGTTCCTCTCCGGAGAGGTCAGGACAGGTGAACTCTCATCACCACCACAGGAGGGTAGAAACTTGGGAAACTGGGCCAGCGTCCAATCCTCTCTTCCCAACTCAGGCCAGGCTGTGTGCAGTTGCATCATCAACGCCGGACGGCAGATACATAGTGAAATCGGTGTGGATCAGCTTCGTTCCACCCACATCATGTCAGTTCAGATGTACCCAACCCACCACCAAATGAGAGCCGAGAAGTATGATCGGCTCCCTTCTCCCAAGTCAGGCTTGGTGTGCTGTGTTTGTTGAATACCACTGTTATGCATATTTTCCACACACTTAACTCATTCAGTAAACTTCACAGTTCCAGGCGGGTGATGCTCCTTTTAAATCGATCGGGCGATGGATGCGCGAAAATACATATTGTCAGCATCCGTCAAGTATTCAAATACTTGGATGTTTGTAAAACACGCTTTCAGAATAACGGATGTCTGTGGATGGGCCGGGCTGGACCTGCCGATTGCTGTTGCGACGCGCATGATTCGACTGGCGCAGCTTTTTATCAGTTAAGTTTAGCAGCTACACTTAGGGAGTGCCTATACGTTTTACCCTTAACTTTCGTGGATCACTTCACTTGGTATATTGTCTAGGACAGTATCCTTTGGACCTGTATTAGACGAGACGTGGAGATAACTGTGACAGTACCTATGGCAGTAATCGAGGCCTTACTTTAGAGAGGTCAACACGTCCTCGAGGATATTCAGTTCGAATCCTTACTAATGCCGCGTTCTGTCTGTCGTCAGCACCAATCACGGCCCAGTATTCGTCCTACGCATGTCACGTCACCACAAAGTCACATGGCCTGTTACGTCACGCTCCGGCTGACGATGACGCCAAGATTTTTTGTCAGCCAGTCAGCATGGCGGGGTCCGTACCATAGTGTCCAAGGTACAAAATGTCCAAAGGTACAGAATGTCCAAAGTACAGAATGTCCAAGGTACAGAATATCCAAAGTTCATAATGCCCAACGCACACCATGCCCAAAATGGGAAGTAACTTCCAACAGGGTGCAGAGTGGAATGAGTCCATATCACAATGCCCAATGTCCAGAATGTCCAAAGTACAGAATGTCCCATGCACATATTGTCCAAGGCACAGAATGTCCAGACCAAATGTTCCAAACTAGTTCCTAGAGCGGCTGCCGGAGTATGAATAATTGCCGCTATTGGCAGGCAGCGTTGCCCCGCCCAGTGTCAGCCGCGCGCCTACAGTTGATACCATTACGGAGACCACGCGCGTGGGGTTCGCCGGCCGGATTGCTAGCTTAGTAACAAATCCATGTCCGCTCCACGACGCAATGGAGCCGGTTGGAACTGCCGCGCCGAACAATGGTCGCTGACTGTCAAAGTTGAGCCTGGTAAGGTCTGCCTGCATTTTGGGCTGCTAAAAACATTGAAAGCAGGCGAAATATGAATCGGAATTATAGCCGCGCTGTGCCCGAAAATATAATTGTCGAAATCGACACTAGCAGTGAGCAATTCTGGACGCCGATCTTGACTGCTCGATTGTCAGTATCATGCAGACATAATAAGTTTGGGTTGATCAGTTTAAATAAGTTCAAATAATAACTCAGTTCGGGCTAATAATGGTTTCCAGCATCATGCACTATCGTGGTGGTTACTATGGGATTGTTTCCAGCAATAGTAAGTAAACTTCGGAAAATTTTCGTCGTCACTAGTGAATGTAATTGAATGAAGTGAATATTATTCAATATGGTATTATAGAAACACCCCATATCCAGGACGTGCGGAGAGCTGGTCGAAACACACGATTAAATTTAAAGTCATAGATGACCAGCACCAAGTATTAGGTCAAGGGGTTCAAGGCAATTACTAAAGCATCATTTCTAGATGTACTTCACATGAAAAACGCTGCTTATGTGACGTCCCAAGATGCCTGATTGCTTCGAACAAAGTTGACGATTGCGCGCCAACGATTTAAATATATGAATACTTGTCTCCCGCCGTTAAAATGTATCCTTTATAGCTAGTGTCTTTTGCGCAACGTGGTATCGGCCAAGCTACGCAAGCGATGCAATTGCTTAATTCGATATTAGGCATACTTAACGTGTTCACCTCTCATGTTTTCCTCGTAAAGGATGTGCACACTTTCCTGTCTTGGATTAGGACGCATACCCCGCTGGGCTCAAGCGTCTGATTCAGTTGTCTTCATTGGGTCTCTTTTGTAATCATATTTTCCTTGCAGCTTTCTTTTGGTATACTTTGGAGACCAAACATGATAAAGGAAAATT